TGGTTAACATATTGGTTCTTTAACCACTTTTCGATATCTTGCAGGAAAAAATGATCGTACCCTTCTCTCCAACAAGCTTTTTGTAACTGTTTTGTGGTTGTATAAAAACCAGGTACGTGATAGTAGATTACTCTAAGAACGATTTTTAATTCTTCATCAGCACTGATTATAATAGTAGGTACACTCATTGTCCAGGAACTCAAATCCCAGCTATCTGATTTGCAAAAGCGTCTCCGGTCTGCTTTAAAGGATGCCGATAAAAAAGAGAGTTATGTTCTTGATCTAGAGCAACGGTTATCTACGCTCGAAGAGGAAGTGGTCATCTTAAAAAATAGAATCCAAAAAATTACCTCTCGGAAGTATAATAAATCTGCAGGAATCAAAGATTCATTTAACATAGTTAAGATGTCTCAGCCGATTCAACCAGACCCAATTAAACCACCTAGCCCCAATGAACTTAACAATCTTTTCGATACACTTCTGGATGAAAATATACATATTGATGGTTATATTCGAAATCCCCACACTTCGGCTTGGAATCAGAGGGATATTCTAAACAAGATTATTACAGTTAATGATTCTGCACTTCGACTAAAAGAAATTGCTGACTGGGAAAATGATGAAGCACAAACCCAGTATCAGCAATATGGTCAGATGATTGCGGGGTTGAATAATCAAGCAACTCAACTTCAAGCCCAAATTCAGGGAGATGCGCAAATTATTATACAATTACAGGCTTGGTTGGATACTGCAAATAATAATTTCGATCTTCTTAATCATGCCCATAATTTTCAGACGGGACAATTGCAGACATGTCAAGCTGACTTACAAAATTGGCGTAGGAAGCATGTAAAAAGGAAGGGTAAGCATATCAAACAAAAGGCGAAGCATAAAAAATGGGAAAATAAGGAAAAGGATTCCCGGCTAAGAATAATAAATTTAAATCAGCAAATTTTAACGCTTCAGAATAATCTACAAGATATGGCTCAGGCATCACGACAACATATCTATCTAACTATTGCACCAAAACTTGCCCAAATTCCAGTCTATATAGGCCAGGAACCACCAGATGATTACTACAACAGGGTTGATCAAGCAATTTCTTATGCCAATACACTTATTACTGATGCTAATACTGCCAATGCAAACACTTTTACAGATGCTCACAAGGCAGATATTTATAAATCACAAATGGGAGGAAAATATTTACCAGTTCCTGCGCAATATCCAAATGGAACAAATATTGATACTCCAGCACGATTCAGAACTTGGCTCAGATTCAAATATCAGCAAGAAATGGTTGGAACTCAACAAGTCGCAATTCAGAAATTGGCGTTCGAATGGTTCATGCCTACTGACATCAGGAAAACTAATGTTGAGTATTATATGTATAATCATCATATAAGTCACATATAATGGTCTATATGCAATTTAT